CTACAAATGGGAGGTTTGTGCCGAAGATTTGCTCGAACATAAAATGTGGAAAATGCTCAGCAGTTCTGGCAGCATCTGTGGAGACATCAAAACAGAGTTGATGTTTAAGTCCAAATACTCTTTCTCGTAATGTTGTTCTCTTCCAAAGGCAAGTTTTGAATTCCAAGCATTAACTCTCTTTCTCTCTCCATAGATACTGCCAGGCCTGAGTTTCTCCGCATTTTCTGTTTTTATTTCAAATTTCCAGCATGTGCAGTATTTTGCTTTTGTTCTTAGTTTTGCATTATGGATTCAGTTTTGTTGTAATTCCTGCTTCACAGTGGCACACAGGTATTCATAGAATATGGTATCAATCTGCAGCATGTGTGACACTGAAGTTGCCCTCACTACCACCTCTAGCCAGGTTCCCACCAATTCTCTGTAAACTTGATGACATCCATAACTCTGCTGCCGAGTTCCATTCACCCATCACACTTGTGCTCATTTACTCCTGATTAAGCAAGGTCTTGAATTTAAAAGTCTAATCTTTATTTTCATATCTCTGATGGCCTTGTTCCTCCCTATCTCTTAAAGCCTTTTCGAGCCCCATGACTCTTTTGATGTTCCATTCTTGTTCAACTCTGGCTTCTTGAGTATCCTTCTTTTGTGCTCCATACTTGTTAACCTGCTTCAGGTGCTCATCCCTAAAGTTCTGTAATTCCCTTCCTAAATTTCTATACATCTCTTTCGTCTTTTAAGGTACTCTTTGAAACCTACATGTTTGACAGCTTTTGACCATCTGCCTTAATATCATCTTCAGTGGTTTGGTGTCAAATTTTCCTTTAAAATGCTTCTGTGAAGTGCTGTGAGATGTTTTACTATGTGAAGGCCCAGAAATAATGAAAATCGTCATGATGTTTTGACATGTTCTTACATCAGGTATAGCGGCTGATAACCATATAAGTAAATATCGCTGTAATGCTACTTTTGTTCCAGGGCCCAACTCATCGTTTAGATATAACTCCAGTTGACACTCAGAAGTTCCACTCAACGCTTCATTTGAGTGACCTCTCCACAGATGATGAGGAGGCTATACATGGGAAGATGAATGAGTATGAAGAGAAAATTGATTGTCTTATGAGCCAAGTGGGATCACTAAAAAATGAAGTAAGCTTTATTAAAGTATGTGGGCAGATACTTTTTTAAAAGATGGTGAGAAATTGATTAATATGTCATCAACTCCATTTATTCCACATCTTCATACCATTATATTTGTCAGATGTCAAAAGGTTCTTAAAGCTGTGCAAAATGAGGCATATTGAATTACAGATAGTTTTATATCTTAACTAGTGTTTGCAGGATGTTGTAATAAATTATCAGTCATTAATTTAATTTTATTATTGTCATCTTGAGGAGTGATGTCCAGGACAACAGTTAATCAGCTTGCTCTTTAATATAAATTGAAACATGCCAACAAGTTTGCCTTCACAAAAACATAAATTACTAAAGAAACCTTCTAGGAGGTCACTGGACTGAAAACAGTAACTGTTTCTATATCCACAGCTACCAGACCTGCTGAATTTCTCCAAGTTCTTTTTTTTTTGTGTGTTTCAGATCTTCAGCATCTGCAGATCTTTGTTTTATTTAAGTTTGATGCCTTATCTGATGGCTGGCAGATCGAACCATTAGGGACCCGCACAGGTTATGTTTCAAGAGTGGGAATTGAAGCCATAATGTTCTGAGATAAGAGTTATTTTATAGGAGTTGAGTCCTGTTGTCTGTTCTTTGACAAAATTAAACAGATGTATTTTCAGTTGCACTTCTTGACTGAGGTCGATTCAGTTTTTTTATTTTAAAGCCATCACTTGACTGTTCAGTGTTTCTCAGATGCTTTATAAGGCTTGGAGTGGGAATGAAGGCAAATGTGATTTATTAAAAAACTTCGCTTCTCATTAACTGCGAAAGTTATCTGTATGTCTTTTTTGTTATTTATTCTCCTGAAGCCCTCAAATGATCCTTGTCATTTCCTCATCATTGCTGTATGTGAATCTTGATTGTGGTAATTAAAATTGTAGATTGAACTGAGGAAGAAAAATCACCTGTTGGAACAGCAAAAGGAGGAGTTGAATGTGTCCAAGCGATTGATTGAAGAGAAAGAGGAGGAATTAGCTGAAGTCACCAAGGAGCTAGTTCTTACAGAGCACAAGAATGAACTACTTCAAAGAGACCTTGAGATGATGAAAGAGGATCCAGCTGTTTCCTGGTATAGAATTTATAATTGATTTTCTCTCTGACTTTTCCTAGCACACTCCTTTTGTGCAGCCTTCCTCAACACTTGAAGCCACAGGTGTTGCCTTGCAGGATTTACATGTAGTTGGACAACTTAGCCAACCTGGCTGAGAACTGATTAGTTGTCCTAATGAATTCAGCTGTTTGTGAAATTGATAAAGAACTGAGGCATCCAAAAGGAAGACATTGTGGATAGGCAAAAACAACCCCGATTTTCTTTTCCATTACAAAGAACAAATAATGAGCTTGAAGAATAATGGAACCATGAGAGAGAACATCAGCTTAACCTTTGGGACACAAATCCTGCTTGCTTTAGATTGATGGTGTTCTTTCTAATTTCACTCAAAATGCCTGCTTCCACCTGTGGTGTTAATTAGATTTCAGCAAAGCTTTTCAGACAGTACAACAATAGTTTGTTCACTAAGATTGGCAGCTAAGACATTGGTAGAATGCTCGTGAAATTAATTGGAAATTGGTAGAAGCCAAGAAAACACACACTGGTTGTGTACGGGGCTGATTCAGAATGGAGGTAGATGACACATGGTGTATTAAGTGTCAGTACTGCAACTGCTGCTATTTGCAATGTGTCAAATAACTTGAGAGCAGTTTAGGAAATGAAACCCTAAGTTTGTAAATGATCACAAATGTGAGGTTCTGCAAGCAGCAGAAAACAGGCTTGTCAGGTACTGACGTACTGGGTGGACTGACTGATGAATGACAAATATCGTCTAACGTCAACAAATAACACCAATTAGACGTTTAATGTAGTAGAAAATCCCAAGGTACTTCACAGAGCCATTATAAACAAAGTATGACACTGAGTCGGATAAGGAGATAACCGATCAAGTAATCAAATGCTTGGTCAAAAAGTGGTTTTAAGGCATATCTTAAAGGGAGAAAGTGAGGGAAAGAGGGACAAGTGTATAGGGAGGGAATTCTACCGCCTCAACAACTAAAGACCTGCCAGTCAAAGACCTGTTTGCTAACAGTAGAGTGATTAAATTTGGAGAAGCTCAAGAGAGCAGACTAGATGAGCACCGATTTCTTCAGTGGGTGTGATTAGAGGAGATTGGAGATAGAGAGGATGTAGAAGGATTTGGAAATAAGGATGCAAATTGAAGACACTGCTTAACCTGGAACGAGTGTAAATCAGCAAGATTGGGCAGCCTCTGTTCCATAGGTTATGCTGAGGTTAATACGTGAGCAGCAGAATTTTGAATCGTCTCAAGATTATGCAGCATAGAATGTCAGGCACCAGCCAGGAATGCATTGTAATAGCCTAATCTAGAGATGATAAAAGCATGAATGAGGGTTTTAGCAGCAGAGAAAGGCGAAACCAGGTGATGTTATGTAGGTGGGAGTAGGCATTTTGAGTAATGTTACACATGTGTCAGAGGGTAACTTTGGGGTTAAATATGACACCAACATTGTTAGCATTTGTTGGAAATATGAGGTTATGTACTTTGGTAGGTATAATGGGGGAGCTGAATATTATTGAAATGGTGAAAGACTGCAGAAAGCTGCAGTATAGAGAAACTTGGCTGTTCACATGCAGGAATCACAAAATGCTAGCATGCAAGTTCAGTAGACAATAAGGAATGCTGGACTTGCCTTTAAAGGGAATGGAGAATTAAAAATAGGGAAGCTGCGCTGAAACTATTCAAGACATTAGTTAGGCCATGCTTAGAACATTGTGAAGCGGAGGAGTAGGTCTTGTGTCGTTGTGGTGGTATTGCCTCATCCAGGCCAAAAGATCTGCGTTCAAGTCACACTTGCCACAAAGGTGGATCATAACATGTCTGAGCATGTTGATTGAAAGAAAAATAAGTACTTAAAAATCTGCTTCAGAGTCGTAGTTCCCCACTGCGCGTTTCTGCGGGGGTTGAATCCATGCTTGGATGTCCATTGAGAGAAAGCATGTGTCCAATGACACAGTTGAGGCCTTTTGGACTGGTGGACACCACGCGGGCTTGGCTGCATCATCACCCTAGGTAATATTTTTCTTTTATTTTGATAAGTTTCCAAACCAGTTCTGCAAGTTTCTGTTGCCCACTGATTTGTTTTTGTTACAGCGCATAACCAGGAGATGTTTAACCTGATTTAATATTTTGTTTAAAAGATCAAAATTTTGTAAACAAACTTGATCCCCTTATCTGAGGAAAGATGTATTGACTTTGGAAGCAATCAAGACAAGACTCACTAGATTGATCCCAGGTATGGAGGGATTGTCTTGAGAGATTGCGTGGGTTGGGCCTGTACTCATTGGAGTGTAGAAGAGTGAGGGGTGACCTTATTGAAACATGCAAGATTCTTAAGGGCTTAACAGGATAGATTTGACGAAATTGTTTTTCCTTCTGGGAGTGTCTAGGACAGGCGGGCATAATCACAGTAAAGAGTTGCTCATTTAAGTCCAATGAGGATTTTTTTCCCTCCGAACGTGATGAATCTGTAGACTTCTTTACATCAGAAGGCTGTCATGGCTCGGTTCAGTATTCAAGGCTGAGCTGGACAATTTTCTAACTTTTAAGGGAATTGAGGATTATTGGGAAAGGCAGTCAAGTGGAGTTGAGGATGATCAATTCAGCCATGATCTAATTTAATGGAAGAGCAGACTTGATGTACTGAATGGTCTACTTCTGTTCCTGCATCTTATGGTTTTAACAGATTGGTTTAGTCTCCGACTGTTGCCAGTGAGAGGGATAGAGTCATACGTAGCTAGGGAGCAGAGCAGTGACTGAAGACAATGGCTCAGTCTTCTTAGAGTGAGTGACTCTGCTCACCCAGTGTCTTTGTTGGATAAGAAGTCTGATAATATGGCAGCTGTGGAGGAATCTAGACTTGGTGGTGAGGTAGCGCTGGTGTTGTCAGTATATGTGTCAATACCAGTGTTGTGCTGTTGGATTATGTCACCAAAGGATAACAGATGAGAAGTGGGTTAGGGTCAAGCATAGATTCCTTGGGACCTAGTATAGGGAACAGTGCGTGAGCAGAAAGAGAAACTATTGCAAGTTATTATCTGGCTGCAATTAGGTAAAGATGGAACCACGAGAGAAACCTCACTCAGCTAGACAACAATGAAGCAAAGCTGGAGGATAATGCTTTGCCAATCATGTCAGAACCTAAAGACCGGTCAAGAAGGATGGAGAGGGATCTTCAGCAATGCTTCACCTTTGTTACAGTCAAAAGGCTGTCTTTTTTGCTTTTTTACACTGTGACAGGGCTGGAAACCTGATTGGAAGGAACAAAATAGCAAGGAAAGAATAACAACCATTGGATAACATAAGCAAAATAGTATTCCACAGTGGAGTTGTTGGTTGGTTCGCTGAGCTGACTGGTTTTCATGCAAACGTTTCATCTCCCTTCTAGGTGACATCTTCAGTGGTGTCCAGCCTCTGTTGAAGCGCTGTTGTTCTGTTCCATTCTCAATTTATGTGGTCTAGTCTCTTATGGTGGGTAGTTCTGTTTCCAGTTTTGCTCCATAGTGGTATGTAGATGGGGTCTATTTCAACATGTTTGTTTATGGTGCCTGTGGTAAACGAGGCTTCCAGGAATTCTCGTGCTTGTTTTTGTTTTGCTTGTCCTGGTACTGTTACATTGTCCCAGTTAAACTGATGTCCTTTGTCAGAGTGAATAGAAACAAGGGAGAGTTGGTCGTGCTGTTTTGCTGCGAGTTGGTGTTCATGTATCCTGCTGACAAGTTTCCTGCCCATCTGTCCTATGTAATGTTTCTTGCAGTTGCTGCATGGTGTTTTGTATGTCATATTTGTCCTGCTCATTGTAGGTATGGGGTCTTTCATCTTTGAGAGTAGCTGGTGAATTGTGGCTGTTGGTTTGTGTACTATCATTATTTCAAGAGGTCATAGGAGTCTTGTAGTTAGTTCTGACATGTTTCTAATATAGGGTAGGGTGGCCAGTGTGTTAGGGCGTACGCGTCTTCTTGGTGTTGTTTATTTGACAGACATTGGTGGATGAAACTGTTAGGATACCCATTGCTTGCAAAGACTTTGTATAGGTGTTTCTCTTCGTTTTTTGTCTTGCTCCAGGGTGTTGCGATGTGTTATCGCTTGTTTAAACAGTTATGACACAGCTCTGTTGGTGGACGCTGGGATGGTTACTGTTGCAATTCAGGATTTGATCCGTGTTTGTAGTGTCTCTGTCTACACCGGTAAGGAATTCACTGTTGTTCGTCATTTCACCATAATGTCTAGAAACCGGAGTTGATTGTTGTTCTCCTCTTCCCTGGTGAACTTGATCCTAGTAAATTTCTATTCACTCAGACATAAAAGGACATCAGTTTAACTGGGACAACGTAACAGTACTCGGACAAGCAAAGACAAGCGTGAGAATTCCTGGAAGCTTGGTTTTCAACCACTGGTACCATAAACAAACATGTTGAAATGGACCCCATCTACATACCACTACAGAGCAAAACCAGAAACACAACTACCCACCATAAGAGATAACAAGGTGTAGAGCTGGATGAACACAGCAGGCCAAGCAGCATCATAGGAGCAGGAAAGAGACCGGACCATATAAATTCAGAACGGAACAGAAAAACAGCGCTTCAATGCAGGCTATACAGCACTGAGATGCCACTTAGAAGGGGGATGAAACGTTTGCACAAAAACCGGTCAGCTTGGCGAACCAACCAACAACTCCAGCCACAACACAAGCTACAGATGTTCGCTGAAATATTAAAGTATTCCACAGTGTGGATATTTGGGAATACTAATGGATAGTTCACTCAAGCTGTCACAGTAATATGCAGTGGTAGCACAGTTAGCAATAAGGGTCCTGTCCTGTATAAAGACCATAGAACTGAGAAAACAATTGAGTACATAACAAGTGTTAATACAGCTATGTTGACCTATGTGTATTTTTGATTAAGTGGAATAGAATTTTTTTTTCATTCACGGGATGACGGCATCGCTTGCTAGGCCAGTGTTTATGGCCAGTCCCCGATTGCCCAGAGGCCTACTAAGAGTCAACCACATTGCTGTCAGTCTGGAGTCATCAGTGGGCCAGACCAGACAAGGATGGCAGTTCCTTCCCTAAAGGACATGAACCAGATAGGTTTTTCCAACAATCGATATGGATTTGTTGTCATTATTAGACTCTTAATTCCAGATTTTTATTGAATTCAAATTCCACTATCTGGTGGCAGAATTCGAACCCAGGTCCCCAGAATATTATCTGTGTCTCTGGATTAGCGATAAGACCACTAAGCCCTCAGCTCCCCTTTGACAATTCAACAATAAAGCAGTATGACTGTGATCATAGAATGTCATAATTCTAGAGACTGGAGGTGGCTGGTTGGATCATTATTATGTTTTCTGATGCTGTACATTCTTGTTTTGTGTTCTGCCCACCTATGTTTTTCCTTCGTCCTAAAACAATAGCTCGTGATTTTGATAAGATTGTATTTCTCTGGCACTCTGACCTTCACCTTGCCCTGCCAAGTTCAACTCTGAAAATAAAGCCCATGATGTTGATTGTTTAAATCTCACTTATTCCTAAGTCCTTCCTTTTATTGTTGCAACTCTTCCATCTGCCATTGTGACTTCAAACTAGCTTTCATTTCTTTCCCCAACAAATGTTCCTGCATAAACCTCTGTTTCTGTAATACTGGCTGTAATCTTGTTGTCCCACATCGTCTTTTCAGTTAATAGCCACTCCCTCAGCTACTACACTGTGCATTTTTCAGAAAATGGAAATTCTTTGTTTAATTTGTGCATAATATCCACTATTCTGTCTTCCTTAATTTGTTACTACTCAAAATGTCTTCTCGCACAAAACAAGCATATTCAAAATCCTTGTTGCTCACAGCTTGGAGAAGAAACACTGGCGAAAAGATAAGGACACCCTGTTGAAAATGCTGGTGGAGGCTGAAATGGATGGGGCAGCTGCGGCCAAACAGGTTGCAGCCCTGCGCAGTGCCATCAGTAAATTACGCATGGTGAGTAGCAATTTTTTCTTTTACCTTTCTTTCTTCTGCTTTGCAGTTTTTTTTTTTAAAATAGTTAATTCCTGCTAATCTGGTTTGCCCCATGTTACTAGTGGTGAATTGCAAATGCTGAGTACCTGAAATGAAATTGATGGACTGAAAGGCTATTGGTTTGGCAGCAATCTCTCATATTTTTTGTCCTAATCAGTCTGTTCATAGGTGTTATTACACACCTCTATAGTAGTTGGGACTTGAACCCAGGCCTCCTGGTCCTCGGATAGATGCACCACTGTGCCGCGAGCCCACCGCAATTTGTTATTGATGGACTGACAACTTAATCACCTGTTGATCAACTCCCTTAAATTTTCTATGTTTTCTGTTTTTAAACTTGGGAGGTCCTGTGGGGAGTGTGCAGTATTCCTGCCTCTGAGCCAGAAGCTCCAGGTCCAAGTCCCACATCAGGACATGGTGGCCACAGAATATGTTTGTAATGTGACCAAATGGATTGATTATCAAGCCGTCAATCCTTCCAGTATATCTATCTTGATGTAGAAGCAAAAAGTGTCTTGGTCAACTAGGTGGCTCAGTAGTTAGCACTGCTGCCTCACAGCATTAGGGACCTAAGTTTGATTTCAGCCTTGGGCGACTATCTGTGTGGAGTTTGCACATTCTTTGTGTGGGATTCCTCCCACGGGCCGAAGATGTGCAGGTAAGGTGGATTGGCCATGCTAAATTGCCCATAGTGTCCAGGACTGCGCAGGCTGTGGGGAATCTGGGGTTACGGGAACAGGGTGGGAGCTGGGGCTGGGTGGGATGCTCTTGGGAGGGTTGGTGTAGACTTGATGAGCTAAATAGGAAGATGGTTGTGGGAGGTCAATCATCTCAGCTCCAGGGCATCTCTGCAGGAGTTCCTCAGGGTAGTGTCCTAGGCCCAACCATCTTCAGCTGCTTCATCAATGACCTTCCCTCCATCATAAGGTCAAAAGTGGGGATGTCCCCCAATGATTGCACAATGTTCAGCACCATTTGTGACTCCTCAAATACTGAAGCAGTCCATGTTCACATGCAACAAGATCTGGACAATATCCAGGCTTGGGCTGATAAGTGGCAAGTGATATTTGTGCCACACAAATGCCAGGCTATGCCCATCTCCAATAAGAGACAATCTAATCACTGCCCCTTGACATTCAATGGTGTTACCGTCACTGAATCCCCCACTATCAACATCCTGGGGGTTACCATTGACCAGAAACTCAACTGGACTCACCACATAAACACAGTGACTACAGGAGCAGGTCAGAAGCTGGAAATACTGCGGTGAGTAACTCACCTCCTGACTCCTCAAAGCCTGTCCACCATCTACGGGCACAAGTCAGGAGTATGATGGAATACTCCCCACTTGCCTGGATGAGTGCAGCCCCAACAACATTCAAGAAGCTTGACACCATCCAGGACAAAGCAGCCCGCTTGATTGGCACCGTATCCACAAGCATCCACTCCCTCCACCACTGATGCTCAGTAGCAGCAGTGTGTACTATCTACAAGATGCACTGCAGAAACTCACCAAAGATCCTCAAACAGCACCTTCCAAACCCACGACCACTTCCATCTAGAAGGACAAGGGCAGCAGATATATGGGAACACCATCCCCTCCAAGTTCCCTTCCAAGTCACTCACCATCCTGACTTGGAAATATATCGCAGTTCCTTCACTGTCGCTGGGTCAAAATCCTGGAATTCCCTCCCCAATAGCATTGTGGGTCAACCCACAGCAGGAGGACTGCAGCGGTTCAAGAAGGCAGCTCACCACCACCTTCTCAATGACAACTAGGGATGGGCAAGAAATGCTGGCCATACAGCGATACCCACATCCCACAAAAATGAATAGAAAAAAAAGCCTCTTTCCACACTGCATGGATTCTGTATATTAGAAACTGTTTTGTTAACCAGACCTGTCACCTTTTTGAAGACGTGCACAAACACCAACCACTATCTCTCCTCTTGCACTCCTTTAAAATTGTATCACTTAGCATGTATCATGTTTACACAGTCTGCTCGCCAAAATGCATCACCTCAGTTTGTTTAATTGCATTTACCATGTACCCACCAACACGTTCACTTGCTCCCAAGTCTTACCATTATCTTCCTCACTCTCGACTACACTGTCAAGTTTCACTTTGTCCTCAGAATAAAATAGTTGCCCTATTACCTACCAAAGCAAGACATTGATGTATACCAACTTCAGCAGTGTTCTAACTGAATCTTGGGGAACTTCACTGCAAAGCTCCTTCCAGTCAAGGAAAAAAAGTCCTTGAGCACACTTCCCCATTTCTATTCAAGCTAATGCAACATCCATGCCATCACTGCCCAATCCACCGACTATCCCAATTTGTGGTACTCTGACAAACACTTTCTGGAACTTCACACAAACGTCAACTGCACCATCCTAATCCATTTTCTCTGTCATTCCATAAAATGTCTCAAAAACATTTAAGTTAGTCAAGCATGATGCATAATTTCGTTGTAAGGCAAAGCTAAATGAACTAATAGTCCTCAAGTTGCTATATTATTGTAGATATTGTGACTACCTGTGCAGGATAATTATTTTCCCCTGCAAATTTGAACACTTAATATGGACTTTTGAGTACTAGTCTGTTGTTAAATTTTGCCAAGAAACCATTGGAAGCAATTTTGATTTTCTCTGTCAACATTAGAAATTTTCAATGAAAGTAGTTGCTGACAGATGGGAAAGGAAAGGAAGAACCTGAAAGGTATAAAAAATACTTTCAAATAGTGCCTTTCAGGATCACTCGATGTCTCAAAACACTCTACAGTCGGTGTGTTAAAGTATACTTGCTGTTTGAATGTAGGTATGCCATAAGAGGACGACTATGTATTTCTTGAGGAACAAGGGAACACGTTTTTTCAGTGGGTCTTCCATATTTCATGCTAAGCTGTAGTACCTGTAAATTTCATTTCCTTTATGTTTTAAGGAGAAGCCAATACCAATGTCAGAAAGTAACCTGTTACAAAGGCAGAAGGAGTTGCTACTGCAGAAGCTGGAAACTTTTGATGCAACAAATCGAGTGGTTCGACAGTTACTGAAGGAGCAGCACTCACAGGAGGTGAGGTTTTAATGGGCCCCAGATGATTTTTAATTCTGTTGTTGCACTTAATTTTAATAAAAAGCTTTCTCTTCAGTTTTCACCTTTTTGAAGGTATATTCTTGTTTCTAATACTACCAGTGTATCTAAGCTGACATTTATTTCTTTGTCAGCCATGGCTCAGGCATGTTCTTGCTCTGAATTTGAAGGCTTTCGGTACTGAAGTCGCACTCCAAATACTTGAACAATCTGGGCTGATTCTCTAGTTCGGCATGGAGTGTATGTAGCACAGTCAGATGTTGCTTTTCAGATGAGAAGTTAAATCATAACCCCATCTGTCATCTCGGGTAAACATAAGTTTCTGTAACACTATTTTGACGAGTAGATATATTCTCCCCAGTATGTTGACCAAGATTTATCCCTCAGTTAATATCACAAAACTTTTTTATTTAAAAGCAGAATAATATGGATGCTGGAACTTGGAAAGAAAAACCGAAAATGTGGGCAATACAACGCTTTCTGTGAAGAGTGATCGTTTAAATCTGGGTGTTATATATAAAATCTGAAATCTGTTATCTGGACATTATCCCATTGCTGTCTCGTAGTTTTCTCTGCAAATATTAGCTGCCATGTTTCCTACATTACTACAGTGCTGCATTGGGTGTAAAGTGCTTTGGGACATTCTTGAATCATGAAAAGTGTTATAGAAGTCATTATTTATTTTAATGAGCTTTCCGAACCTGACAGGATTTAGTTTTTAAATGACTGCAAGTGGTTGTTTTCCTTATACATTGTAAATATGGTGGTTGCAGGATAATAATCTCAAACAATAATGGCATTGGGCCATTTTAAGGCATTTGTGTGGTTAGATGAAGGTCCATTTTTTTCGGTCCCTTTTTTCTTTTTAATAGACTGATGCCTTGAGACTGTTTGAGCAAAAGGAAGCCCTTCTTGAAAAACTGGCCCAGTCAGAAGCAGAAAATGCGGTAAGTGAAGCTGTTTGCAATTTGGTGATGGAATGTGTCAAGTGGGACCGATCTATTTCTCAGAGGTATGATGTTTTGGGTTGCAGGCAGTCCCTGGCTTATGGATAGTTTCCGTTCTTTACTATGTTCATAAGTTGGTTTGTACTCCAGTTGGAACACAATACAAAACAATGTAAAACTGCCATTCATAAGCACGAACAAACGTACAAATGTGGATCTTTAATATTAATATAGCCTAATGGGATCTCATTCATAAAAGGATTCATAAGTTGGAAGTTTGTGAATCAGAGGCCACCTGTACACTTTAAATAATGGTTGTATGGGGTGAAATAAAATGCATATTTTATTAGCTGCACCATTGGATAATCCTTGGGCATTTGGACGTGATGTGCAAGAATTAGTTTCAGATGCCTTGTCTTCCATATTTAAGGAGTCTGTCAAGGCATGCATATGAGCAGTGCTTAATTGGGCGAGGAAGAGGATTCCTGTAGAGAATTCCTGCAGAATAAGGATAATAAAACCGACTATTAGACACTAGAAGTATAATGCCACAACTTACATTTACCCAATACCTCAAATAGCAAAATATCCCAAGGTTTTTCACGAGCATAACTGCACAAAATGGATGCTGTACCAAGAAAGAGGACACTGAGGCAATGGTCAAAAATAAGATTAATATTTATATGCATATGGAGGTATATGTAATATTTAAATACAATTGCTTTAAATGTGTGAAACAAGAACCTTGAGGGGAAAATGGTAATCCCTTGGTTAGTATCACATAACATTGGGAGACATGGCTATTTTGAAATCTTAAATCATATTTAATATTATCTTTTAGCGCTTGTCCATGAAGCTGCAGGAAGTTGAAAATCAGATTGACCAACTCCGCATTCAGTATCGAACAGAAAAGGTGAGTGGGCAGTGAAGGGTTGGTGTAAATTAGCCTAATGAAAATGAAGTGAACCAGAATGTCCAATTACCATTGACACAGATCTGTCTAACAGCAATTGTATCAAAAAATGTCCACTTACCTTTGTGATTTTCGCAGTCAAATTTGAATCAGATCTGCCATGGAAGGAGTGAATGTTTGTTGATGCAGTGTCATCAAACAGACTGCTTTGTCCTGGATGGTGTCAAGCTTCTTGAATGTTCTTGGAGCCACATGCATTCAGGCAAGTGGAGAGTATCCCATCATGTTCCCGACTTGTGCCGTGTAGATGTGGAAAGACCTCTGGGGAGTCGGGAGATAGGTTACTTGCTGCAGGATTCATAGAATTCCTACAGTGCAGAAAGAGGCCATTCAGCCCATCAAGTCTGCACCATCCCTCCAAAGAGCATTTCGAGCCTCTGACTTGATCTTGTAGCCACTATATTTATAAGATGAGTCCAATTCAGTTACTGGTCCATGGTAATCCCCAAGATGTTAGGAAAAATGAAGTTATTTGAGCCTGTACCTATGGGGAATGAACTTAAGATCGGTGGAAAAAGAACAGTAAATAAATTTTCTTATCTTCTCCAGCTTATGCACAAAACAGTTTAAATCCATTAAGAGCAGTAGTCTGGATAATTGTGCACCAAGTTAGTTTTATCCTTTTCTGTAGTCAAAAATGTAGAATGTTATCCATCTAATTCAAATTTTATAACAAAATTTCTAATGATAAACCTTTGTTAATAAGCTGACACAGCTGCATGGGGATTCTATATCAAAGCAAAATGTCTTGTACGGCAACCTAAAAGTGCATCTGCCTCTGTTGTTGTCATGTTAACACACCTGAATATAAGTAAAACACTCACATGCTGAGCTGATAGCGTCTTTCTGCTCAAGGCTAATTGGAAGGTGCATTTGGCTATGGACAGTCTATCCTTCTTAGTGCTTTAGTGTTATTTCAAATTGTTTCATACTCCAACCAATCTACAGGACCAAATTTGAGATCTGTATCCTTATTTTTATACAAGCCACAATCCCTGTCTCTCTAAATATTGAAAATTAAAGGTCCCATTGGTAAGTAATGCTTGAAACTAAGCTTGTGTACCAAAGTTTGGTTTGCTTTAGTTACTTAGTACTTTTGTTACTGAACCAGCTTGTTTCCTCCTGTAGGATAATGCTCGTGCAGCAGCAGAGTTCTCCAAATCACTTGAAACTACACGAGCCCACCTACAAGGACAGCTTCGCAGCAAAGAGGCAGATAACAATCGGATGCTTGTTCAGATCAGGGTAATGTTTGTACTTAACTGTGGCAAACTGAAATTTAAAAGTTGTATCCTGAGGGTATATTTGGAATTTTATGCTTCTCTTGTTTTCTTAAGATATGTTAGTTTGCCTCAGTTTCTAGGAATTTTCCCCGCTGATTTAGGAGCTTATGCCTTAAGCACATAATCTACATTGGAGATCATCTTCAAATTGTTGCAGTTGGGCTATGGAATTATGGCTGATTGGAAGAAAAACAAATTTTAAAAAAAAAAAAGCTCTGCCAAAACACTTTTGTGTTTTGATTTGCTGGTTCTGGTTGGGTTCATTCCATTATCTTTAGTTTATTTGTGGAATCAGTCACTTGGCAATAGTGGACATGTAATTTCTTTTACAGTTGTTGGTGTGTCTTTTGTTTGTGTATAATATATGGATGTTTGTTTGTATGAGTACAGTGGCATGTGCAGACTTGTTCTTTTGGCCTGCAAGCAAACAACCTCCATCATTTTTTGTTAACTTTTATATAGTGCATGGTTATTAAGCTGGACGTAACTTTGGCTTAATAAGTAATTAATTGCAGATATACTTACAAAATAAAAATGTATCTCTGTAGTGTTGCTCTTGATAAGACAGTTTTGCGGCCAATAGAAACTGTTCAAGTGGTAGATTTTTATGACTTCTAAACATGTAAGTTTTTAATTTATTTGACTGTTGCACTCACCAAATCAAAAGTTTAAGTGTAAAAAGAAGCGAGCATATAACATTGTTCAGTCACAAATCTCTGTGTATACTTCTTCTGTGGGTTTCAGCACCATGTTGGAATTTGAGTGCACAATCTCAATTGATGCTCCAATACAGTACTGAGGAATATTGTACTGCGTCGTCAGATGTACCAGCCTTTTGTTGGGATCACAAGTTGTTCCCTCATCTTGTCTGTCCTTATCTAGTGGGTATTCAAGATTGCATTTTGCTGTTTGAAGAGCAGCAAATTCACCCAGTGTTCGACCCCATATTCTTTCCTCAAGCCACACCACTAAAACCATGTTGTTTCATCATTCGTCTCATTTGTAGGGTCTGTCTTTCTTGCAAAATGGCTGTTATGTTTACCCATATAATTTATATAATGTGAAAGCTAATGTAATTTGCCTGAAATGCACTTTATATGTTTGAAAGATATAAATACAGTATATAAACACAGGTCTGTCTTCTATGCCTTGTTATATGATCTGTCTTTGGCTTTAATCTTTTTTTCTTTAAGCAAACTTTCAAGTCACCTTAAGTTGAAACAATTAATTTGTTCCAATTTTGTTCTTCAGAATTTTGAACGTACCATCTCACAACAGAAGGGGGAGTTGGACTACCTGACAGACCAACTAAGGCAATTCCAAAAGAAAAGGGACAGGGACAAAGAGGCCTTGAAGAAAGCAACCAGGGCTCAAAAGCAACGAGCAGAACGCAGTGAAGATGCAGTTGAGCTACTCAATGCCCAGTTAATTGACAAGGTGACCAAATACAGTCAGTGAGGAGCATTGCATCCTGGGAACAATAACAGCATTCTTAAAGCTGATTATACAGCAAGTGAGATCAGTTGAATTCTATCAGTCAGTTAAAGTGGGTAATGAAGGGCAGATGACAATGCCCAGTAACCCTTTCTGGCATAAGTAATTGAGGGTATTCCCAATGTTTAAATATGGATATTAAAGATACTGATACACTAATAGACATGGTCAGAAAGAAAATATAAATGTTTTTATTTGTATAGTACTTTCACAACCACCAGCTATTCCAAAGCATTTTTTAGCCAGTGAAGTCCTTTTGAAACATAGTCACTGTTGTAATGCAGGAAATATGGCAGCCAGGATACCAGTGATGACTTCCCTTGCTGGAATAGCCAGAGTTCTAACATGAATTTATAATCTGGGTCATTTTTCACTGATTGCGTTGTTTGTGCAGTATTGATATCACTCGCCTCTGCCCAAAAAACAAACTCTTAATACTGATTCCTTACCTTCTCGCTAGCTTTATTAGCACTAATTCATACAGTTTCAATTTTTTTCTTGAAGGACAGCTACCAAGTTCATGCAACCTGAACAGTATTTTTCAGTTTAGGATATTGGCTGTATTATTTATAAGTTGCTTTATTTAAAATGTACAATGTTATAAAATGTCATTTCCAGTTTGAACCTTGTTTGGTTGGCTCGTCTATAGGAGTCGCAGCTGGCAGACGCATTGTCAGCGGTCGAGACGTGGAGAAGTTCTCATAACAAGGTGATGAAAGAAAAGAGTCAGTTGGATGTTGAGATTTCACTCTTGAACAAGTAAGAAAGCTGGAAAAAGACCAGCAGTGTCGGTTTAATTTTAACACTCTTGATTTTTATGAAGTACAATATTTAATCTATGTACTGAAACCAGTACTAGCTGTGTCAATTTTAGCTAAGCAGTACTTTATTTATACTGTCCAACTCGAGTGGAGTTTTCTCATTCTGGGAAGATGGATGGAGGAATCAGTCCTGCATATGCATGCTTAAAATGTGTGGAGGTTTCCTACCAGAAATAGAACATCTTTGACTGCGTGAATGGGCTATTTTAATATCGAGCACAGTCAATTAAGATTTTTAAATGTTTAAGAGACACAACAAGAACCCGAACTGGATTAAGCCAGTTTTGTAAAACCCAGATGTTGCTGCAATAATGTCTCTTTCTTTTGTCCTTAAGTAGGAATCAAACTCAACTCTCAAAACTGATCTTGCAGTAATGCTAAAATTTCAACATAAATGTAGCTGTAGATGTAAAATTTGAAGCAATGAAAGCTATGTACAGTTTTTATTAGTCTCAATCATGAAAAAGCAATACAAGAGATTCTTGTACTTCACTAATGGATCTTGCCTGGCATTGTCAACCATTAGACCATACAATGTTATAGGATATAAGACCAAATAGTGGCTACAACCTGTAACTATGGTGTACAAGCTGATCCTGACAGCCATGAATTCCCATTCTAACTGACTGCATGGCATTTTCAATGTTTTAATACAGTGATCAAAAGTTGTAAATACAGAAAATGAATTTTGTGCATTACAAGTAAGTGTGTAGATGAAGATTTTAAATGTGACATTCAAATAACTTTCTTGATGGCAGCCGCATTACAGATCTGTTGGATCAGACTCATCATGTGGAGGACAAGGCTCGGGGAGACATGGAGTCAGTGATGGGCAAGCTGCAGAAGATGTCATCTGAGAGCACCAGTGTCAAAATGGAGAATGAGACAATGAAGGTTCAAAATTTGCTCAAAATTCTGTACACCATATACTGAGGAGAATATTGTAGCAAAACCAGTAACTTTGCTGAAATTATTAATTTTCCAATCATGCAATCTGGGCGACTTATTTTCTAATTGGTCACATGACCTCAATCTAACAATGGTCACTTTACTGATGTCTGTGTTTGTGTTGGCATTCACAGCCATCCCAGTACTAGGTTTAATTCTTTAACTAAGTTGTATGATTAAGTTAGGCTGGAATGACAGTTTTTCCACAATGTTAAAAAGCCCAATAAAGGGACCAATAGTTCGTTCTTTTTCTGATAAGAGGGTAGAAGTTAATTAAGGTGTGGTTTGATTTTTGTCATCTGTACATTTTCTTGTGGGTTGTAAAGTAAAGCAGCTAATGATTCATAGTTGACTTTGTTTCAGTAAAATGTTTTTAGTTTACCTACTGAAAGATTGGAGTAGCTCACAGTTAGCAAACAATTAGATCACAAGGATATACAAATTAAGAGTAGGAGTAAACCATATAGCCTGTCATATCTGCTGTGCCATTCAGTGTAACCTTGACTGATCTTAGGCTTCAAGTTCACGGTCCTGCCCATTCCCCATATCTCTTGATTGCATGAGAGACCAAATCTCTACCCAGCTTTAAATACGTTCGATGATGGAGTATCTACAATGCTCTAGGACAGACATTTGCACAGGTTCAAAATCTTTTGAATGAAGGAATTTCTCCTTATTAAATGATTGATCCCTTTAGCCTAAGAGTTTGTCCCATGTTTTAGATTCCCTGACCAATGGAATCTCTGTATCTACTCTATCAAATCTGAAGGGATTTGATAATGTTTAAATGAGCTCACTCCTCTCGCGAGAATGCATTCAGCCTCTTGCCAAAGGACAACCCCTCATCAGAATGAACCTTTGCTATATCACCTCCAATGTAAGTACATCCTTTTGTAAATGTGGTAATCAGACAGCGCACACTACATATCTGACCAACACTCTGTGTGCAATTTTAACACTACTTCTTTATTCCTGTACTCCATTCTCTTTTGATACCATTTGCCTTCCTAATTGCTTGCTGCATCCGCAAGCTGGCTCCCTGTGTTTTGTACAAGCGCACCCAACTCTTTCTGATCATCAACTCTTTAAAAATTTCAGAGTCCAAAAGTATTGGACATTTGGACACAAGATACTCTAACCATGCGGTAGAATGGTTAGCCCCAATATACCCACGAAGTTTTGTTTCATAGAGTGGTTAACAAGTTCGATATTTCTAACATGGTATCTATTCAATCTGCAAGACCGCCGACTGAATGCTTTCTCTCTTCCAAATGTAATTAGGCAAATATGTCAGCTGTGGAGGAGAAGCTGACACTTGCTCAATCTGAGATGCAGCAGTTGAAAACCTCTATCAAACGTTATGAAGGGCTGGTGGATAGCTACAAATCTCAGGTAATGACTTCATAACCTGCACTTCAGTATGTGTATAACATAAACATCCAAGTACAGATATTCTCTATCTAAACTTGGTCTCTGATCCTACCACTGGCAGTCACGTTGGTCATGTTCTCTTTTGATTTTGAAGCACAGTGATTGAGGAGATATTTTTCTTTGTGGCAGATGTGGTTGTGAGGCTGGGCAGGAAAATTCTTGAGAGGAATGAGTGGTGGTGGAAGTTAAAAGGTATTTGATTAAAAGCAGGAATAAAACCGCATGCTTAATCAAAGAGGAAGGAGGATTTTGACATTGGCTCAAACTGTGGTTTCATTATGTGGGAGGTAGAGAAGAGAATTGTCATGAAGTCCTATTTATGGAAAACTTTTGGAAAATATTTTGATAATTTAAAATGCCATTTTAATAAAACAAAAATTCTTGGCATGCATCCAGTTGATGAAGACACGAATGGAGGCGGATGAGTACAATGCAAAACTGGAGAGGGCAGAGAAGGAGAACAAGCTACTGAAAGATGATGTGAACAAGGAAATTGATCAGGTAAATACTGCAGTCTGGAACCAATTAGTTTCCTTATGCATGAGTTTTTTTTTTCATCATGCGTCAGAATTTTAAAATTTTAATGTCCTTCGGATGGAAACACAAACGAAAACAGTGAATGCTGCAAATAGTTATAGAGCTTTACAGCACAGTAACAGACTCTTCGGTCCAACTCGTCTATGCTGACCAGATATACTAAATAGATCTAGTCCCATGTGCCAGCAGTTGGCCTATATCCCTCTTAAACCCTTCCTATTCATATACCCACTCGGATGCCTTTTAAATGTTGTCATTGTACCAGCTCATTCCATGTACACCCCACCTTATGTGTGAAAAAGTTGCCCCTTGGGTCCCTTTTTAAATCATTCCCTTCTCACCTTAAACCTATGCTGTCTAGTTTTGGACTCCCCCTCTCCAGGGAAAAGATCTGGTCTATTCTCCCTATCCATGCCCCTCATGATTTTATAAACCTCTATAAGGTCACCCCTTAATCTCTGACACTCCATGGAAAGTAGCCCCAGCCAATTCAGCCTCTCCCTGTTCTCAAACCCTCCAACCCTGGCACCATCCTTGTAGATCTTTTGTGAATCCTTCCTAACATCCTTCCTAAAGCAGGGAGACCAGAACTGAATACAGTATTCCAATAGTGGCTTAACCAATGTCATGTACACCCGCAACCTCCCAACTCCTATACTCAATGCACTGATCAATGAAGACAAGCGTACCAAACACTGCCTTCACTATCCTGTATCTGCGATTCTACTTTCCAGGAACCTGTGCCTAGGGTCTCTTTGGCAATACTCCCCAGGACCCTACAATTAAGTGTATAAGTCCTGCCCTGATTTGCCTTTCCAAAATGCAGCACCTCACATTTATCTAAACTAAACTCCACTTGTGACTCCTCGGCCCATTGGCCCATCTGATCAAGGTCCTGTTGTACTCTGAGGTAACCTGCTTTGCTGTCCTCCATGCTGCCAATTTTAGTGTCATCTGCAAACTTATTAACCATACCACATATGTTCACATCCAAATCATTTATATAAATGACGAAAAGCAGTGGACTCCGCACCGATCCTTGTGGCACACCACAGGTCACAAGCCTCCAGTCTGAAAAGAAACCCTCCACCACCACTCTGTGTCTTTACTTTCGAGCTAGTTATGTATCCAAATGGCTTGTTCTCCCTATATTCCATGTGGTCTAACCTTGTTAACCAGTCTGCCATGAGGAACCTTGTCAAAAGCCTGATTTAAAGTCCAAATAGATCACGTCCGTCACTTTGCCCTCGTCAATCCTCTTCATTACTACTTCAATAAAACTCCACGAAGTTAGTGAGACACAATTTCCCATGCACAAAGCCATATTGACTATTCTTAATCAGATCTTGCCTTTCCAAATCCTGTCCGTTACGATTGTCTGCAACAACTTTCCCAGGGAAGGTGATAGCCTAGTGGTATTATTGCTGGACTGTTAATCCAGAGACACAGATAATGTTCTGGGGACACGGGTTCAAATCCTGCCACGGCAAATAGTGGAATTTGAATTCAATAAATATCTGGAATTAAGAATCTAATGATGACCTTGACCTTGAATCCTTTGTCGATTGTCAGAAAAACCCATCTGGTTCACTAATGCCCTTTGGGGAAGGACACTGCCACCCTTACCTGGTCTGGCCTACATGTGACTCCAGACCCACAGTAATGTGGTTGGCTCTGGGCAATAAATGCTGCCTGGCCAGCGATGCCCACATCCCATGAATGAATAAAGAAAAAAAAAAACCACCGATGTCAGGCTTTCTGGTCTATAGTTCCCTGGATTTTTCTTGCCACCTTTCTTAAATAGTGGCCAATACACTAACCAACCTCCAGTCTTCCAGCATCTCACCTGTGGCTATCAATAATACAAATATCTCTGCGAGGAGCCCAGCATTCACTTTCTAGCTCCCCACTGAATTCTAGGGTACACCTGATCAGGTCCTGGGGATTTATACACCTTCGTGCATTTTAAGATGTCCAGCACCGCCACCTCTAATATGGATGTTTCTCAAGATGTCTGTATTTCCCCATGCTACAGCTCTGATAGTGTCTGAAACAGAAAGTGTGCTGGAAATTTAGATGGTGTGATCTATCACTTGAGGTACTGCAGTGTGGCTGGGGAGAATTGTCTTGGAAGGGGCAAGCAGTTATGCACAGTATAACTTTGAAATGAGGAAAGGCCTAACAGCACTGTGTGGGTACACCACACAGGCTTCAGCAGCTTACAAAGGGGGCACATCACTACCTTAGCATTGAGCAGTAAATGCTGTTCTTGCCAGTGTTTCCTAAATGCTGTGAGCAAATAAAACAAAAATACCATTAACCCAATGAGAAAGAAGAAAATTGACAGTTTATAAAGTGTTTTTGTTTTGTAGGTGGTATTAATTCATCCCCATCCTCAGGTCTCCACAAAATGCCACTGCACATGGGGAATTTAGACCATTATTATTAGGTGAAGTGGGTTTCGAGAGTGGGATACAGAATCATGGTACTCCAGCACCTCCACTGAGCAGATAGTACAGTTGCTGCTTGTCAGTCTTACACTAGCAATTTCCATTGTAAATGAGGATGGAGGAATTTATAATGGAAAGGTTCACAAGTCAACTTTTACTGATTTTGTTTGTGTTGCAAGCTTTGGTATGTTTTCTGTGGAGCAAATTTTGAATGTTGTTGCAATTAAATAATCTTTCAGGTGCTGACAGCCCAGTGTATATTTTTAGCATTTTTGGTGACTTTCTTTTATAATTCTATTCCAGATGTATGAATTGCAGCTTCGGCATACATTATCTATAATGGTCTGATGTGTTTTGAGTTTGTTTCCTTCTGGCAACATTCATGGCTTCTGTGAGGAGATTAATCCCATATAGGTAGATGATTTGAGTCACTTGAAAGGCTCTGCACACTACACTCTACTGCACTGCCATGCTCTTAAGGCAATTAGAAATGGGTAATAAATGCCAGCCTTGCCATTGATGACCACACCCTTAAATTAAAGAAAAAGTATAAAACTAGTCCGTTGGGAAATAGAGGGAACATCCTATTGCTGCTCCTTGTTTCGTATGTTCTTTGTTCATATCAACATTATAAAATGTTTAGATATTGAGTTTATACTGGTGGACATATTTTTGATAGATACTGTTTTCAAACACTTTCATGTTCGTGCTATAGGTCCGGAGACAGATGCAGAAAAAGCTGACCGATTTGGAGCCCGTTCCTGAGTTGTTGAAGTTAACTGAGCACAAGCTTCAGGATTGCCAACAGCAGCTCGCAATATATGAGAGAAAAAATGTAGATCAGTCATCTGTCATATGTAATCTCAAGATGGAGGTAGTTTTAAATTTCTGTCAGTTTTGAGTTTACTTTCCTGTTAATCTAACTCAGTTGCAGCACACTGATTTCGAAGTTTTAAGTCACATTCCAATTCTTCATGTAATTTAGCTTTGTGTTTGTTTATAGAGCTAAAGGTTCACCGTATTGTCTGAGATGCCATCTTTCAAATATGTTAAACTGAAGCCTCTCTCCCTCCTGGAGGGGTTAAGTGAATTTTAGAGATTTTATGACAATATGAAAGCAGCAATTAAAAGCAATGGAGAGATTCATCTGTGCCTTTTGTGGGATCTTGCTTTGTGCAGAATGACTGCTTCTGTCTTTGTTTGCATAAGGACTTCAAAGTTACTTGTGGAACGTGAAGCATTGTGCACCTTTCTAAACTTCACTAAACTTAGTGGTAACATGCAAAACTAATAAGTGCTTTTTATATAGTTACAACTCAATGCAAACCTCAGTCTCTGGCCTTGCTGTGTTGGAAAGCTTTGTAACAATGTGATGGGTCTCTTGTGTAATTGAATGTCATCTATTTTATTCCTGAAAAGTACATAGATCAGCAGCTGACACTAGCCCTCTACTAGTTTAAGCATTGTACTTTGAATTCAAATTTAATTTGAGTTAGGTATGAAGTCTTGCAGTGCACTGTTTAACAGAAGAATCACATCTGTGCTGTTTGTGCAAAACTCCCAAGCTCCTCACTTTGTACCTGCTTTTCTATAAATACCAAAGTGGGAAGTAAAGATAAGATTGGATTCTATATATTCAGTTCAGTTTCTTTAATTTAGTTGGGGAATGCTTTGATATTAAATCAACATCTGTGCTTGCCATTGTGAAATAGTTGTCAAATTGAGAGACAATTCCTTGTTGAATCTTGCTCTTTTGACCATTTTGACCATCTTGGCCTGCGCAGATTGAGGAGCAGAGTAGCAAGACAAGAGAGAAGTGCCAGCATTTGCAAGAAGAAAATTATAATCTGAAGCTGAAGTTGGAGACTTTGGAAAGGTTAGTTTTTATTGAGTGTAATTAAAAGGGGAAGGAGCTAACTGAAATATTGTTGCCGTACAAGAGAAGGTGAGCTAAATCCAGACTCTCTCTTCCTTTACTGTTGGGATGCATTATGCGTTTCTGTTTGGGAGTTTCATTTCTCCTACCCTCTTTTTGTCTGATCAACTTAAGTGTCCTGGAAAGGGAGTTCTCAAACCCATCCCACCCACCCCGACCAGTTTCTCTTCCAACCACATGACTGTTAAAATTTCCTTAGCCCTTCAAAGGTAGACACTGTATTAAACTTTGTTCTAATACTAGAGCCATGTGGTTTCTTAGTCTTAAGAGGGGTAATATTACTGCTTGATTGGTGTCAAAATGGCTTGCTTCTCTTTTTAAAAAATCCTTTCCCTTACTCCTTACAAATTTTGGACTGTTTTTCATAAGACAATTTGTTGTACGTACTGAATTATGTTGTCCTATTTTTTTTAAAGGAGGAACAACTGAGGAAACCTGTTAGAACAAAGCAGCTCTTAATTCTCCAAAGATGGATTAAACTTGAAAGGCAAATTGTGAAAACAGAAGTGGACTGTTAACTAAACTTAAAATTTTTTGATTAAGAATTTAAACACTATGATGTGTATAGGTCATGTGTTCATTGCAGCTGTCAAACTTGCATCTAATTAGCTCAAAAATCATTTTAATGAAATAAAAATTCAAATAGATTCAAAACCCACCAATAAAAAAGTAGAGTTTTTTTCATTATTCTGCTTTTTAAAAAACATTTAGTTGTGCAAGTCCTGAGATCAATTACAGATTATTTGTATCAATTTTAACAACGTAACATAACACATACAAGTTACAACTGTCTGATGAAAATGCCCAGAATCTCTTAAAGTTAAGG